CATGACCGGCTTCCCTTCCTTGTTGGAAGACTCATTCATATGCTTGGGCTAAGATTAGATGTGGTTCCATATGTCATACTATATATAGCCTGATGCTCAACTGCCCACGGTTTCGTGAGTGGGAAGCACCAGATCAAGTAAAGATATTATCAGACCTGTGACACATCGAATTGTTTTGCATCACAAACTATTTTTTAAAAGTAACTAAAAGAAGTAATAAGACAAGACATATCACAATCTTAAAAATTCACTTTAAAAAAAAGCATTTCTATTATTCTTGCTTGCACTGGAAATTCTCAAATCATAGAATTTGGGGGGCGGGGGGAGTATAGAACATTGGTCATGTAATCATCACTGACCTAGGTTACAGTCCAAAGCTAGGGGCTATGATTTTATTCCCCAAACCAGTCAGCCTTCACCCAAGCCCTGAGCTTCAGTTTATTCCCAAATATCTGACAGCAAAGGAGCACATTATAGTGAACATTCCCCGCTTTGAATACTCCTATGGAAAAATCTGCTTTTACTTTCTTAACACAGAAGTCTAGACTGTCGAAACTGAAAATTGCTAGTTCTGTTAGTTGCCTTCTCCCTAGTAATAACCTCACATAAAATGAGGACCCTCTCTTCTCTTTTCCCTTAACTACAATATCCTCTTCCCTTTTGCTAGTATCAGCAATAACAGTTAAAAAAAAAAAGTTGGCCCTTTTGTGGGAAGGGAAGGGAGGTAGGTAGGGATGAAATGCATTCACACAAACACACAACCCTGATGTGGTTCTGAAAGGAGCACAGAAGCCAACCAAGAGCTTCAAAAGGCCAAAGGTAAAACATTTCAAACAATAAAATAAAGTAGCATTAGATCATAACCCAAAGTATAAGTATTCATGAGTCCATATTGCTATAAATGATTGAACAAATTAGTAAATGAGACAAATCACCCATACAGAATTCCAAATAATTTTTGTAAATATCCCACCTTCAAATAGAGGCATGATCACTACTGCTTAGGTGTGGGCTGTGCATAGTGACTTCCTTCAAAGTGTACATTGTGGAAAGAGGGCAAGGGGAAAGAAACTTTACAGTGGAGAAACCTGGTAAATACTACGTCACTCAGGTGACCAAACCAACAATGATAAATCATGTTGACAGTATGTGCCCTTGATATGTCATGAAAATGGCACTTTGCCTGTGTTCTTCCTCCCAATAACCCATATCCCCAGTCTTATCATGAGAACAACATCAAATTCCAATAGTGGAGCATCCTACAAAATACCTGACCAGTACACCTCAAAACTGTTATCAAAAACAAGGGAAGTCGGAGGAATTGCCACTGCCAAGAGGAGCCTAAGGAAACATGACAATTAATTGTAATGTGGTATCCTGGAAAAGAAGTATATTAGATAGGAACTAAGGAAATCAAAATAAACTATGGACTTTAGTTAGTAATAATGTATCAATATTTGGCTCTTTTAAGTATAACAAATGTATCGTACTGATGTAAAATGTTAGCAACAGGGGAAGCTCAGTGTGGCATATATGGGAACTCTGTTCTATCTTCTAAATTTTTGAAGATTTAAATCTATTAAAAAATAAAGTCCATTTAAAAAGAAAAAATTCAAAAATGTTTAGTGATAATCTCCCTCAAGTTGGAATATGGGTAATTCATGCTCCTCTCTTTATAGTTCTCTGTGCCATTCACATTTTCTAGAAAAAGCTCTATGCTGCTCTAAAAGTATGCATACAAGATTTACTTTTTCTCAACTTAAATACTAAACACTAAAACTGCTTATAAATTTGAAAAGCAGATATTATTTATTTAATAATTACAATTTGTTGCTCACTGACTGTGCTTAAAATTTTACTAATACTCTTGTGTAGTAAACAGTATTACTCCTTTTCAAAAGATAAGGAATAGAAAGTTTAAGTCACATAGCTAACAAGTGGCAGGTAAGGTGACTCCAAACATACTTTTATTTCTATATAACACAGCTTCCCTAGAATTATTTTGTTCAGCACTTCATACACTAGTGCTAGTACATATATTATCGTAAAGTACTTCACAACAGTGCTATGAAGTGGGTTATAAATACCCATAACTTAGTGAAACTGTGTCAGAAGAAAAATGTGTGACAGGCATTGCTGTAATGCTAACACCAATAATAACTAAATAAGCTCCAGCAGACAAAACAATACCCACCCTTCTTCAGAACACAGCGACTGCCAAATCTACTCTCAATAACTTTTAAAGACTATAGAGATCTTGTTTTACCAGGTGGCATCCGGAATCATGCTTCTTCCCTAAGCAATAAGGCAGTTCTTTCAAATCGTAGGAAGTCAAAGAAATAAAATTGAATATTCTCCTTAGACCATTTTCAAGTTCAAAGATTTCTTGCCTTCATCAAGGCTCACCACCTCACTGTTCATTATTTCAACGTGACAGAACTGATAAACTGAAATGAATAGCCTACATACGTGTTTTTTTATGATGCCATTTCATGACTCCTTAATTCACAGGATGACTCAATTGAGGCTGGCCTATTTTTAAGTGAATTGGTCTATTTTAAGCAAACTGATCCCTATCATGAAAATAAGCCAAGAACAGAATGTACATGGGGCCTGAACAAGGGAAACCCAAAATCTGCCCAGTTACGTTATAATATCAGCATCCATGAACAAAACTGAATCCATGGACAAGTACCTGTCAAAAGGACATAGGAGCCTGACTGACAGGGTACCCACTGACCAACTCTGGGACAATGTGAGCATCAAAATAAAAAATTACCTCAATAAGAAAACCACCTGATTTTAAAAAGCAGACAAAAGTTTTGAATAGCCGTTCTACCAATGAAGACATACAGATAACAAACAAGCACATGAAAATATGCTCAACATAATTAGCAGTTAGAAAAATACAAATTAAAACCACAAAGACACCATCATCTACTTATTAGAGTGGCTTAAAAAAATGACATTGAATAGTAGTGAGGATGCAGAGTAAATGAAATGTTCATACACTGCTGGTGAGAAGCAAAATGGCACAAGCCACGTGGGGAAAGTTTGGCGGATTCTTATAAAGTTAAATATACCATATATACACTTACTAGAGGATTCAACAAGTGAAGTTTTTTATTTACACAAGTAAAATTAAAAACCTATACAAAAATGTTCATGGTAGCTTTACTCGTATGACCAAAATCTAGAAATTCAAATGTGCCTCAACAAGGGGAATGGATAAACTGTGGTACACTCATACAATGCAGTATTACTCAAAATAAAAAGGAACAAACTCTTGATATACACAGCACCTTGGATGAATCTCAAGTAACCATGCTAAGTGAGAAAAACGGACTCAAAGGCTACATACTATATGATTTCATTTACACATTTTGGAAAAAGCAAATCATAAAGTCAGAGAATAGATCAGAAATTATCAGGAGTTAACGAGACAGGAAGGGTTTGAAAACAAAGGGATAGCAACATTTTCTGGGCAGCTGGAGGGAATGATAGCATTGTTCTGTATTTTGATTGTGGTGGTGATTACATGAAGCTGTGTTAAAATTCATACAACTGTAACTAAAAAGTAATTTTCACTGTAAGTTAAAAATGGATTTTAAAAAATTAAGTGAAAATAAGAATTGTAAAATCCTTTAATTCCTTAAAACAGAAAACCTACTAATAAGGAAGTCTGCAAACATCTGGACTAATTGAAAGCACATCTCCTCAGACAATGCATTGACAATTTGGCATTACTTCTGGAGTAGTCCTGACCACCCCATGAGAAATCATGAGAAAACAAAAATTATAAAATCATCAGACAAGCCCAAACTGAGGTCATTCTACAAATTAACTGATTTGGACTCTTCAAAAATGTCAATTACATAAAACATAAAAACTCAGGAACTATCCAGATAAAAGAAATTTAAAGAGATATGAGAACCCAATGCAATGTACAACCTTAGATTTATTTTTTTCTGTGAAGGACTTTATCGATGGGACAACTGACAAATCTCAATATGGTCCTCAATTAGGTAAAAATATTGTGTCAATGTTCATTTTCTGATTTTGATCAATGCACTGTGGTTAGGTATTATAATAATTCTTTGAGGGTGGGGGAGGAAACATTGACATATTTAAGGTTACTCTTAAATGGTTCAGGAGAAAATAGAGAAAAGCAAATGAGGTAAGTGTTTACATTTGGCAATGAATGAAGGGTATCCAACAATTTTTTGTACTATTCTTGCAACTTTTCTGTCTGAAATGTCAAAATTAAAAAATTATTTTAAAAAGTAAATGTCCGTTGGGCTAAAAATAACAGATGAAGTAATCTAAACGATGAAATCAACATGAACACATTTACTAAAATTAAGAGTCTAGAGCAAACTCTGGCACTGACTCAGTACTGACAGGTCCGTGTGTTCTGGCACACAGCCTGAAGTTTGGGTTCTACTATGGAAAGCTATTAGCTTGATGCTGTCAAACACCTGAATTACACAAGCAACTCTCTCCCTCAACTGTTTCCTTGCCCATCGAGTAACTTTTGCCTATAAAGATCTCGCTACAAAAGAAGACAATTAATCACAATGACTTAGAAATTACTCATATTTATAAGTTAGGTTATAATCAGCTTCTTGTAAATTTGATTAATAACAGCATTCCCAAATTGTATCAATTCTGGGGCATAACAAGAGTATTTTGGGACCCATAAGCCTAAAAACTATACTCTCAAAATGGAAGATTCATCAAGGCTGTATAACTGTGTGCAAGCCTTGGCTAACAGCTTTTCTCTCAACTACATTCCTGTACCTGGGTCACAGCCTTATTTCAACCAATAGGTTTCATTACTCAAAGAGACATGACATTAAAAGAATTAAGAACGGGTAGGTTAGTGGGAAACTATATTTTTCAGTGGGAAAAATCATGACAAGTACTTAAATAACACAATTCCATTTTGAAAAACTGCATTAGATAGTCTGTCATTTAAATATGACACTGATGCAATCACCTTCATGACACACAAAAAGGAGATTTTTATTTTCATGCTTTATCAAGTCTTGACAAAGAATAGGTAAACACAGACAAGTGCAAACTTTAAATATGCAGATAGAAAGGGGCCATTATAGAAAGTTCAAGCCTTTATTCATAACCTCACAATTAAAGAGTCCAATCTCAAAAAAAGGAAAATGTTCCATTCAGCACTTACTCAATTTCCTTAATGATTGGTACACTTAGAATTTTTAAATTAGCTCTTGTTCTGGCATACTTAGGAAGTATGATCTTGCTTACTGAAATAGGATCTTAATATTTCATTCTCAAAACACTTTAAAACCCAAACCAATGTTTTTCTTTCAAAGATGTGGAAGGCATTCCTATTCAAATCTGACTCGTGGTTTTATAAAGCATAAAGATCATTTTTATTATTTATCTGTGTGCTGGATTCTAATATTCTTTTTGATGGTGACGTGTTAAACGATAGAAACATATACAGAAAACTCCTTCCTTTTCAATTTGTAAACCAAGCTTTTAAAAGCAAAACCCTTGAAGTGATAGCAAGACATTTTTTATGACATAAGCAGCTACAGCCCTAAGCTGCTAGCACAGGCAAAAATAACTAAAGTACAAATTGTTATTTATGGTAATCTTTAATTAGTGTACGTCTGCTACAAATCCACAAATATTTTAAATATATTTTCTTCTGAAATAAAAATTAAGATAACCCCAAATTCAACAACTTTTGAGGATGTTAATAAAATTAACTTTCCTCCTGAATGTTCAGTGATAAACTGAACCCCAACTTCCCTACCCCAAGGACATAAAAATGATCTAAAGTGGATCAATGTGCATAACAAGTTCATATTAAAAATGATTCTTCATATGCTCTTTTACTAAAACAATCAATATAAAAAGAATGTAAAAGCTTGTTTCATGCTTAAAGATTTAGGTAACCTGCAAGGAATTGCAACTTTTAAACTTTTAAATCTAGCACTACTGTATGTGAAAATACTTGTATCATAATAAAGCAAACCAATAAAATTCCACATGTAAAATTGCCTAAATATCAGTAATAATAATATTCTCCACAATCTTTTGTCTAAAATTTCAAAGCCATCAATCTTTTCCAGTACTTTGAGTGAGCAATCAAAATAGTCATATTTACTCAGGTTTAAAACTAAATTTCTCCTCCCTGAATATTGAGGCATAGATGAGATACACTAAAGGTTATTTTGTCCAACTTCCTGAGCCTATAGATGCGGAAACCAGCTCCAACATGATCTCATTATGTCATCATCGATTCACCTTCTTCACCAGTAGCACCCTGAGAAATATGAAGGTCTTCGAGCATTTCAGCCAGACTAATTCGAGGTGCTCCTTCATCATCTGTGTCACTTTCCACAGGAACGGTTGAATCTAAGAAAAAACACAGGGAGGATTTCAAATAAATACAAATATGAAAATATGCAAATACTTGCCCCCACCACCATTACTATTATTTAACCATATTACATCCACAATTCTTGTATCATATCTAGAGCAGGCATTTAAACATTCACTGAATGACTGAAATGCATAAATATATGAATATCCAGTAATGAAGGGGTCAACAACTTGGGGGAATCATGCTAGGATGCAAATGATATCAAATGTGGCATAGCAAACATTTTAATAAATTCTACTGTTCGGCAAGTTCTGGGTTTTGTTTTCTGTTTTTTGGGGTTTTTAAAAAATAAATGTTTAATTAGAGCAGTTGTAAACACACACAATAAAAGTCATTTATGGAATCAAAGTTTAAGATACCAAAAGACTCATTCTGGGGGAATACATCTATATACAAAAGATATAATGTGACCATTCTTAAAACACCAACCTCTGTAAATGTTTACATTTTTTCTAATTGCCTCATCTTCTTCAAGATCTTCAAGGAAATCTTGGTATTGTCTATAGAAGAATAAAAAAATATTTAAATATTTCATCTTTACCAAGAAATTATGAAGTTATGCTTTCTCCGTTTTCAGCACCAAAATGTGTTGCAAGTATTAAAATCTTTAAAACATCTGCAGGTCAAATATGGATGATAAATACTATGACAGGCTTTTAAAAAATATTTTCTTTCAAAATTACATGGCAAAAAAAATACACAACTAAAGTCTTATAGCTAAGTTGAAATACATATACTTTTAAGACTATAGATGAAATAGTCAAATATATACTTATAATATCTAATTAATTTAACATTATATATTTAATACATACTTATTTTAAATTGCATGAGATTATATTTTAGAAATATTACTGTTTCCCACTCACATTTAATGACACCATTTTATTTAAACTCTTCATTTTCTTAGATATCAGAGTCTTTACCATCATTAAGGCCATTTTTTTAATCATTCAATATACTTTTCTAGAACATAACATCTTCATTACTCTTTAAATTGCTTGAAAACTAGCATAGTTGATATCAAAAAACTTTTTTTTCTCCCAAGTCATAAGTACTCATTTGATATTTGTGATACCCACAAGATAATTACTTATTATATTTTGACGTATCAAATGAATTGTTTATAGTAACACTACAACTGTCAGGTCATAACCCAGGAAATAATAACTAAATCTGTGTTAAATGTCATTATATCCTCTTATACTGATTCTATCAACACATTGGTAAGAATCCAAAATTAATATTAAGTGCAACAATCAACTGTGTGATGACTATTTATAATATAAAAATATGCCATAAAGATTTATCATAAGGATTTCCTTTGAGACACATAAGATTTAAAGTGGGACCTTTCATCATCTGTATCCATGTTTTCTCTGTCTTTTGCAAGCTCTTTCAGTTTCCAGTTTCTACGACGCCGACGTTTGGTATGGTCATAGCTCTTTTTGATTAATACCTAAAAGTAATAGAAATGTTTGCAAAGTTACAAAAAGTAGCAACTAGGTAACAGGGCCTCAAAATCCAAAAAGTTAAAAAACAAAAGGTTTTAAGAATGCCAGGAAGTCACCAAGCTGATGAGAGTGGTTCTTAGGGAAAAAACGTAGGGAGAGATCAAGCAGCAGTGTCAAGAGAACTTTTAACATTTTTCTCTATATACTTAATATTTTATGAGAATGCATTAAGCTATTATTTGTATAATTGTTAAAATTTACTAACAGAAATTTCCCAGTGATTGAAGATTTTTTTCTTTATACCAAAAACTTTATATTTGTGGTTGCTTTTTTATACCAAAATTCAGTTTTTAGCTACCATTCACATAAATCATTCTGAAACATTCCAGACAGACACTTTTTCTTCCCTTTTATTCCTACTAATAGGCACTTATAGAACTATATACTTCTCTCACCACTGTATGTCCTAGAACAGATTACTAAATCGTGGAATGAATACTATTTTATACAATACAAAATCCTGCAGACCACCTTCATCTCCTCTTAAGACCTTGTTAGAAATACCTACTTAGACTTACACCTAAACTGCACTTCTATTTCCTAATTTATTAATTAATAAAAGCATAACTGGGTGGTGAGGAGTCCTTCGTATACTATGACTTCATTTTTGCCCACAGCTAAAGAGATTAATGTTTATTTTAGAAGATTAAGCAAGCAGAAGGTAGGGTCTTTCACATTTCATATTCACTGCTATACATATTTCTTACAAATGCATGTTAAAATTTAATAGGTTTCTTTTTCAAAAGTCAGATTCTTTCTCTAAGACTTGCTACTGTGAAGATCATTTTCAACTGCAATTATATTCAAACAGGAAATAGAGTTTAACTCTAAATGCCTTCTCAACTGAACAATACCTGAAATAAGCTGAACCTAAAAGAATGAACCTGAATAAATTCTAAAAGTCATTAATTTTTGCCACAAATTTATTTTTTCTCTACAGATAATATAAAGCATTTTGAAAAAATGAAAATTTGATTACAGGAGTAATAAAAAATTCTTAAGAAAATCTCGGATTTTCCCCACTAAGAAAAATGATTTAAAATAAAGGCCTCTGCTATTATACCGCAACTGGAATTTCAAAAGAAACCTCTAAATTGATTTGCTATTTTCAAAAATGTGAACCAGTGCACCTTATCCGTAAGTTACATCAATCCTCTTTAACACAGGATAAAAGGGAAAATCTAAAGCCTTACCACATCTGGGACTCTATCTGATTTCATTTTGTTGACATGCTCATCATTTAAGTTACAGTTTGCCAAATCAAACCTGAAATAAAAACAATAAAACACTTAATGGCAAAACCATTTTCTCTTTCCACGTAATTTTTTGTTTTACGAGAGATTACCTAAAAGTTCCTAAGATCAAACATTTAATATGCTTTCCCATTTCAAAAGTTTTGCAGTTTACTATACAGCGAACATGCTTCCACAGATCCTAGTAAAGATAATAAAGCACTCTATCTCTTGAGTTTCACATATACATTATTGTTCACCTTACCATATACTTATAAAGAAGCAAAATACACTTTCTATCTATCTATCTATCTATCTATCTATCTATCTATCTATCTATCTATCTATCTATATCAGTCTAACATTAGGATTTAGTGAGATGGTTCCATCTCGTTTATAACAAAACAAATAAAAAAAAAGACCCATCCTTTAGTAAAAGGAACAGAAACCCTAAGAGTAAAAGTAATACTGAAGGCATGCTGATAAAGCTCTGCATCAAATGGGCTGTCTTATGCCTGTAAAGACCCCATACATATATGGCTGCCATATTTTAAAAGAAAATATTTGAGCAGCGACATATACATCATACAAAACTACCTACTCCCCCCAAAAATTGTAAATGTGAATCTAACTAGAAAACTTCACAGTTCAATTACTTAAAATCTTGAAACAAATAATTTTAAGATGATGGCCCAAATAGAGTATAACTATGGGTTTCTGTCCAATCCACAATTTAATTTAGTTATCGATAATAAAATGAACTGTAAGGCTCCTAAGAACTCTTAAATCCTTTTTGGAATATACAATGTTAGTATTTTTTATAGCTTTGCTGGCTCCCAAAGAAAATTTGTAATGCTACTTGGCGGTTTAAAGTACAATAAAATAATACAAACCCCAACACCAGGTCTCCAGGATTCAGAAGATGTCCCAAATGAGTGCGACAAAAATACTGTTTATCTGTATTCATTTCACATGTTTTCTGTACCCAGACTTCCCCAAGGGTATGCTTAACAGGAAAGAAAATGCACTCTTCAACAATCTAAGTATAACTCAAAAGCATTTCATAGAAAACTTAAATGCAATTTTGATTTTGGTTTTCTAATTTTCATTTTAAAGACAGGAATTGTTTTATTATTCAGATCTCTGAAACACTGTCAAAATTAACAAATTACTCAATTGTGAATATAGAAAAATAAGATTCACAAGGAATTCATATAGTATTTTTAAGATTTTATTCAAGGCTTTTATAAAACATTAACAATGTCACCTAAAAACAGGCATATGTAAAATTTTCAAAAGAAATGTTTCACAGAGAGAGGGGCCAATATAAACTGAGCAAAAAGAATAACTGAAAAGTAAAATCTTAAATCCAAAAAATATCCTAAGCAGCCCCTTGTGTTTTACACACAAGGTTCAAAAACCAGGGTTTAAACAAAACAATCTAGCAATCCCAGTGCCCCCACTACTACTAGAGAACCCAAATCTTTATCAAATTAATTTTTATATGTCTGTTATTTTGAGGTGTAACACCTTTTTTAAACTATTTGTTGCGTAAACAACATCCCTAGATTGAAATTTTAAAGAGTTATAGATAGAATTAAGAAATCTCAGAGGTGAAAAGAAGAGGTAGAGGTAAAGGAGTACCGTATTTGCCAGAGTATAAGACGATTTTTTGGCCCTGAAAAATATGCCTCCAAGTGGGGGCTCGTCTTATACGCCAGGTACACTTCAGATAGACTGCCCATATAACAAACTCTGTATTTTGAGTGGAAATGTTAGGGGGTCGTCTTATACGCCCAGTCGTCTTATACGCCGGCAAATATGGTAACTGAAATAAAAGACAGGTTTCAGATGTAGGAAAGAACAGTAAATTACCACCAAGAGACTACATCCTATGTATCAGGATCCGCTTTCCAGCTATTATTTATAAGAGATTCATGAATATGTTCTAACTAAATGTATATTTTTAGAACAAATAAAATATAATTTCTGGAGATTCCCTAAGGGGAAGTAGTATTCCACACTGTTTTATAAATGCTAAGTTTGCTCTTCACTATATTACTGAACTTTTTAAATAAAAATGTGAGAAGTAATCTGTCTCCCATTTCCACCAATTTTCCCAAATTATCAGAAGTTATTATATTTTTGTCCTCAAGTCACAATATTACCTCAACAGAAATGAGCACCAGTAGTATACAGTATGGGGGTCTCCAAATACTATTTCACAATAAAAAAAATACCAGACTTATATCCTTGAAGAAATACCTGATTTCAGATACAGGGTAAAAACCATACAATGTGATTCTGGAACACCTAACTATTGCGGTGTTGTGCCAGAAAGTCATGTCAAAAGGACACAGGAATAGACCTATATTTATTAATGAAATTAAATCAATAATTAATAATCTTTTAAAACAGAAAGCACCAGTCCCAGGTGGATTCACTGGTGAATTGTACCAAACATTGGAGGAAGAAATTATACCAATTCTCTACAATCTCTTCCAGAAGACAGAAACAGAGGGAATACTTCCTGACACATTTAAAGGCCAACATTACCCTAATACCAAAACTAGACAAAGACATTACCAAGAAAACAAACTATAGACAAAATGTCTCTCATGAACAAGACGCAAAAATCCTCAACAAAATATAGAAGAATTCTACGCCATGACCAAGTGGGATTTACCCCGTGTATGCAAGGCTGTTTCAACATCTGAAAATCAATTAATGTAAAAAAAAAAAGAAAAAAGACAATTAATGTAATCCATCAATCACATCAACAAGCTAAAAAAGATAAATCATATGATAGTATGAATGCATGCAGAAAAACCATTTGACAAAATCCAACACTCCATTCATGTTAAGAAATCTCAGTAAAGTAGGAACAGAGGGGAACTTCCTCAACATGATAAGGAATATATATGAAAAACTTACAGCTAATATTATACTTAATGGTGAGAAACTTGAAGATCTCCCACTAAGATCAGGTACAAGGCAAGGATATCCCCCCTCATCACTCCTTTTCAGTATCATACTAGAAACCCTAGCTAATGCAAAAAAAAAACACAAAAAAAAAACAGGAAATGGGAGGTATATAGATTGGGAAGGAAAAAATAAAATTCTCGTTTGCAGATGAGGATTATGCAAAAAATTTGAATGGACAAAAAAATTCCCAGAACTAATAATATAGCAAGGTTACAAGATACAAGGTTATAAACGAAAATCCATCACTCTCCTATATACTATCATGAACAAGCGGAATTTAAAATTAAAACCACAATACCATTTACATTAGCACTCAAAATAATGAAATACTTAGGTATAAATCTAACAAAATATGTAAAAGATATGAAAAAACTACAACTCTGATGAACAAAATCAAAACAGAACTAAATACAAGTAGAGAAATTCTATGTTCATGGATAGACTCAATATTGTCAAGATGTAAATTCTGCCAAAGTCGACCAACAGATTCAATGCAACCCCAATCAAAATCCCATTTATGGTTATCAACAAACTGATTTTAAAGTTTATATGGAGAGGCATAAGATACAAAACAGCCAGTACAATTTTGAAGTTCAAGAAAAAGTTGTAGGACTGATACGACTCCAATTCAAAACTTACTGTAAAGTGAAAGTAATCAAGACAGTGTGGTATTGATAAAAAAAATAGATCAAAACAGAACAGAGAGCCCAGATATAGACCCACATAAACAGTCAACAGTATCTTTGACAAAGGAGCAAAGGCAATACAATGGAGCAAAGATAAAGAGAGTCTTTTTAACTAACGGTGCTAGAACAACTGGACATACACAAGAAAAAAAAAAATCTAAACACAAACCTTACACCCTTCACAAAAATTAACTCAAAATGGATCACAGACCCAGGTGTAAAACATGTAACTATAAAATTCCTAGAAGATTACAAGAGAAAAAACCTAGCTGATCTTGGGTATGACAATGACTTTTTAGTCACGCTATAACACTGAAATCACAATTCATGAAAGAAATAATTAATGAGCTGGACTTCATTAAAACTAAAACTTCTGCTCTGCAAAAGACAATGTCAAGAAAATAAGAAGATAAGCCACAGACTAGGAGAAAATATTTGCAAAAAACACATTGATAAAGGACTAATATCCAAAACATACAAATAACTCTTAAAACTCAACAATAAGAAACCAAACAACCCGATTAGAAAATAAGCCAAAGACATTAACAGACACCTCATCAAAGGGGATATACAGACAGCAAATAAGCATACAAAAAGATGTTCCAAATCATATGTTATCAGGGAGATGCAAATTAAAATGATAATGAGACACCACCATACAACTATCGGAATGGCCAATATTCTTAACACTGATGACACCAAAAGTGCTGGTGAGAATGTAAAGCAACAGTAACTCTTGTACATACATTACTGGGAAAAATGCAAAACAGTACTGCCACTTTGGAAAATAGTTTGGCGGTTTCTTACAAAACTAAACATAATCTTACCCAATGATCCAACAAATATGTTCCTTGAGATTTACCCAAAGGAGTTGAAAACGTATGTCCATACAAAAACCTGCACAGGATTTATAGTAACTATTCATAATTGCCAAACTTAGAAACAACCAAGATGTCCTTCAGTAAGTGAGTGGATAAACTGTGGTACATCCAGAAAATGAAATACTATTTGGCAAAAGGGGAGGGAGAGAGGGAGGGAGGGAGAGAGAGAGAGAGAGAGAGAGAGAGAGAGAGAGAGAGATATCAAGTTATGAAAAGACATGAACATTAAATGCATATTAGTAAGTGAAAGAAGCCTATCTGAAAAGACCATGATTCCAACTATATGACATTCTGGAAAAGCCACTCTGATGGGGGGGATAACCATAATGCAGGAGGTCATGCATGTGTGAAGGCAGGGGGAAATCTCTTACCGCCTCTTAATTTTGCTATGGAACTAAAACTGCTCTAAAAAAGTAGAAGTCATTAAAAAATTTTTTTAAAAAAAGGACATAGAAACTATTCTGAAGGAGTTCCCACTGGCTAAATTTGGGGCAATCTGGGTGGAAGGAAGAGAGGAAGCGAGCGGGCGGGAGGGAGGGAGGGAGGGAGACAGACAGACAGACAGACAGACAGACAGACACACACACACACACACACAGAGAGACCGGGGGTGTGGGTGGGGGGTGGAGGGGGAGGAAGAGACTAGCTAATAACAAAAGGAAAAAAATCATACTGCTACAATGGAGGTCTGGCTATCAATGAAACAGCCAAACATTACTTGTATCTTGATATAGCATAACAAATACATAGCATCACCTCTCAAATGTTCTGGCCAAAAACAGTTAACCTAAATTTAAGCAAGCCTTAAGATCCACTTTCCAGTTTAAAGGAACTACAAGAGATTAAGTAGCAAGTTAAATGACATCATGAGAAAATAAGATCGATCCACAAGATAAATGCCCAGTTGCCTTAGAAAGTTGGTATCATGAAAAAAAATGGGGGGCTATTATTAAATAAAAAAATGAAGGGGTATAAGATTCACATTCAGTGTATAGTTCCCAACTGGATGCTAGCTTGAACAAACCATAACAGGAACTTTGGGATAAAGGAATTTGAATACAAAAGATAATGTTTATATGTATGATAACACTTTGATTATGTAGAAAATATTCCCATGTTTTAGAGATGCATACTGATGTATTCAGTATTTAGTAATAATATAGCTTATATTTAATTCAAAATGTTTGAAAAATTTTTAAAAGTCATAAAGGTTAGCTTATCATTTTGTCATCCCGTACAAAAATAAAGATAGAAAATACTTTTTCATAATAAACATTTTTAAAAATGTTTCCAACATTAACGAGAAAAAAATTAACTTACCAGATAGTGTAAGTCTGTTAATTTTCACCACAATAATCGCATGTTAAAAGCTAACAACGTAAAAATATGGAATGCATTTTTAACCTAATGTGGTGCTAGCTTTATTTGAAACCGTATTTTGGAATTACCAACAAATTTAAAAAACAAACATACAAAAAAAGGGAGGGGGGAGGGAGAACCAAAACAATAAGTTGGGGGAGAAAAAAAGGTAAGCAGGATGAAATTTACCTTTTTTGATATCATTCCAGCACCTGCACTGCGTTTCAGGTCTCGGACTATGCTGCAGTCCATCACAATAAACTCCTCTAGCTGTTTGGGATGGCACAAACTATTGAAAGGGTGACTCCAGAAAGTGCTCCCATCAATATCTGCAACTAAGAATAAACAGAGAACATTAACGAACAAGAAAAATGAAGTATTTCAAAATTCAACAAATGTTATAACTAGGAAGAAGCTGGTATACACGAACTGGGAAGCATCGGTTCAACAGAACCAGTGGCAACTCACTCTCTAAGATCATCATTTATTCCTATAAATCAGCCCCAAACTTCTTACAACACATGAGAAATATCAGGTGTCAAGTGCTTATTATAAGTGCTTGCTATAATCAGAACACCACAGAGCTAAGTGCCTTTAATATAAGGTCAGATCCAATCAGTTGTATAGTTGTTTCATGTGCTGGCACTTTATTTTAGAAACATTGTCATCATAGAAAGTAAAGTTCTGGGTCGGCCGAGTGGCGCGTTGGTTAAGAGCTGGCTTGGGACGCCAGAGGGCCCTGGTTCGGATCCCACATGAGGGATGGCCAGTGACACTGCCCTCTACAGCTAAGATGCTGAACAACAGCTCAACCTGGGGCTAGGCTGCCATGGATCGCCGGCGACGGCGTAGGCTGCAGCCCCTGCTGCAGTGGGTTGCCATGGGCTACCGTGTGTAGCCAGCAGGCAGCGTGAGCGGCCAGCAGCCGCTGTGAGCGGCCATCCAGAAGCTGGCAACTGATCTGCCTCGCCCGGGAAGAGTGCAATGATGGTGCCAACTTGGGCCAGTGAAGCAACGTCCTCCACAACTAGACTGAAGAACAAAAAGGACAGCAATTTGTCTGTTCCCCTTCCCCCAATTCTCCCATCCCCCACCTCCGCAATAAAAATCTTTAAAAAAAAAAAAAAAGGAAGTAAAGTTCTGACAGATGTTCATCCCAATATTGTAAAAAAGACCTTTGACTGATAAATTCTAATTGACAAGGATAATGAATGACTTTTTGGAAATGATCAAAATAAACTCAATTTTTTATAACAGAAAACTCACATTACAGGAAATAGAAAGTGAAAAGGATCAAGTAGACAATACAAAGAAGTACTGAGGCATCTATCAATATAGGGTCTTCTTTAAAAACTTACCTTGAAGGGTATTTGGATCAATGAGATGGATGGCACTGGTTACTCGAATACACACACAAATCTGGTTCATATTCCCCAGACTTTGTGCCAGTTTTGGAGACAGACAGACAACATTATCCTAGGCATAAGAACTAGCATTTAGAGTGAAGCAAATCCTAAATAACAGTCTCCAATAAATACTCATCAATGTAAACTAGATCCAAGTACATTTGCCCAAACCAAAATGTTAAATTTTTAACTCTATCAACAAAGGTCCTAAAGAAAAGAATCAGACCTTTAGAGAAACAGAAAATAAGTTATATCTTCTTAAGATGTGGATATCTGTCTTAACGCAAATGCTTTAAAATTTTTTTCCACATCCTATTCACCAAGCAATTAGGTTTATGTCACTTGTATTGAAGTGTGACTGCCAATCACTCTATGTTAATACAGTGTACATTCTAAGCAAAGCATTAAACATCAAACATCAGGAGAGTGATTTTCTAAATCTACTTTTGACTTCTTTCAATCTCCATAAAAAACAAAATCAGAGGCACCACATTTCTCTCTTAGTTACATGTAACAATATGTAATCAAAAATTTAATGCTCCAAAGAGCACAGCTCTATGTGCATACTGGGAAATAATACCAGCAATGTGGTTACCAGTTTTTAAACTGTATTAAAATATAAAGAATCTGCATTATATTGTAAGCTGTATCTATTCACAATCATAGGCTCCTCCACTGAATGGACATTCTGTGCATCCCTAGTGGCACCTAATCCAGTTCTTTCTTTATAACTTAGTAAGAGTCTCCAAAGATTAATGAAAATACTCCTTTACATTGTGTTTTCATCCAGTTACTTGTATGAATTACTGAAAGCACTTAATACACAAGGACTTAAATATGCCTTCAAACCTAGATTTATATTTCCCAGGCTTTGTACCAGGAAACTTCACTGTTTTAAAGCAGGGGTTTGCAAAATAAGGCTTTCAGGCCAAATTTGGCCCACAGCCCCCTTTTTAAATAAAGTTTTGCTGGAACACAGCCTCCGCCATTCATTTACCTATTACCTATGGCTATTCTGTGCAACAGCAGCAGAGCCAAGTAGTTGCAAAAGAGACTATATGGCCTGAAAGCCGAAAATATTTAATACCTGGTCCTTTACAGAAAAAGTCTGCTGACCTTGTTGTAAGCCATCATTTCATCCCTGGTACTGTACTACATCATAAATTAGTGATGACAGCTTTGAAGTTTAAGAGTCACAGACCTAGGTACAAATCTTGGCTTCATCATTTTATAGTTATGTAACTTGGGGCAAGTCATCCAACCTCCCCAAGCTTCAATTTCCTCATTTTCAAAATGATAGGATAATTTACCCCAGTTATTATGAACATAAAGAGGTGAAATATACTCAAGTACTTAGATATTAACTTATATAGAATGCTCACAATAAATTCTGGCACTTATCATTATTAGTGATTTAAATATCAACATATGTGTAAGTTCCTCTATAGCAGAGACCTCTAGAATATACATTATCCCTGACAGAGCTCTACAATAGATCCTTATTATCTATTTTTTTAATTTTAATCCATTTATGTTTTTGAAGCAGGGTTTTACCTTAGTACAATTAAATGAATTAATAACCTACATTTTAAGTGTTATTCAGATTATGCTTTTTAATCACAAAAATGACTCTATGTCCCATTTCCACAATACTGTTTATTTTCATGCCAAAATCCAGTTTGAACATGTCCAAAGTGGTTCACTGATGTTTATATTAATGCTATTTCCTGTATTCAGAGTTTCACAAAATTGTCATGTGTCCGCTAGAATCAAATTTTAAGAAATATGGACATTAAAAAAAACTGCAACAGGCCTTTCAATTAGTATAACAAAATAAAAGGTATGCCAATTTATATCTTCAAGCGTGATTACTTATTAACATAGTTTTAACATGGCTGACTAGAATCAGCCATGTTAAATGGTTAAAATAGTTAGAATCATTTAAGAAGAAAGCTATTCTAAATTTTTAACCTCAAAAGGAAACCAGGAACTAATAATTACACATAATCCAGTTAATTATGTGCACTCTTTCATAGACAAGAATTAAATAAGAAAAAGTACCTTGCATATTGGAACAATTTCCAAAGAAAAAGTGCTTTTGTAATTGTACGTGTTACTATGGATATCCTGAGAGATCAGTCTCTGTGAAGCTTTGTATCTATTAAGAGAAAAAGTTAATAATAATGAAAACACAAAGACGTTACTTGTATAGTCTCAGGATATCAATTTTCATCAAATCAAATCATCACTGTCCAAGTTCTAATACAGCTTTCTGACGTCTGCTTTGCTAAAGCCTAATTTCATCTCTTACATTTCAAAACCTCCACCAATCTGACTGCACCTTCACTATTTTCAGCTTTATCTACTAAAACCTCCAAAGCACGTCCTTGGCTCACACCAATCTAGTCCATATACACATCCATTGAAAGCTACACTAATACCCATAAGTCTTTGTTCATCTTAATCTTACTTTCAGTATAAACACCATCTTTGCAATTTTCCCATTTTAGGAGCATAAATCCTTTCTCCTCCAGGAAGCTTCTCCCCAGAGCCCTCTACCCCCATCTTTTTTTCTCTTATTTAAAAACAACCAATCATTCAGCACTACAGTTTATTATCATGGAATGAGGTCTAGAACCCCAAAGTGAGTCTTACATGCTCTTTGACTAATACTTTCCTTAAAGTGGCTAATCTAATATGCTTACTGTGTAAGTAGTCTTACTATAATTTTAAACATTTTAACATAAGAAAGGTTGTCTCAGCCTGAAAAATGGATGTGACCTACATCTATTCTCAGCACCTTGGACTTAATCACATTTAGGTTCAGAACATACCTACAAGGACTTGTACACTGAAGAAATTCTACCATCTTCTGAGCATGCTGTTTTGAAGAATAATAGAAATCCAGACCATCTTAAAAAAAAAAAAAGCCACATGAAAATAATTCTGCAAAACAAAATTTTCCTCTAACATGACTACCATAACAAATTAAATGTGTACTAAAAATCAAATTATTAGAAAATATACTGTAGCCACAATAATTAGGGATATCATATCACTTAAAACTTATTTGACAAATCAGACAAATGCTAACAAAAAAAACCCAAGATTCACAATTTTAATTTCATATGACATAAAATTCAAGGTCAAGGGGGGAGAGAAAAACACTAGACAGAACAAAGAAGGATGTTATATGTCATAAATAGAACCACCTACCAAGAAGACAATAGTAAGATACCCAATAACATAGCACTGAGATGCAGAAAACAAAAACTATTAAAAAGAAGAAACTAACAAATGTTAACATATGCACAATCATATTAAGGGACTAATATAAGACTATAAAAACCAAACTGACCAAAAAAGGAAGGATACATAGAACTTTAATAACCAACTATCAAGGCTAATTTATTTTTTCTTTTTTAAAATATATTGCATTGTGTGTTCACCACCCAGAGTCAGTTAATCAAGGTTAATTTATTTGAGATTACAGAACACAGTCTCAAAAAAGAATATATGATTTTTAAAAATTCGTAAAACTTTCATAAAATAATCATATACTAAGATTTTTAAAAAAACTTCAATAAATTCCAAATGGTAGAAATTACAGACATCATCTGATCACAATGCAATAGCAATAAAAATCAGCAACAACAAAGGGACTACTAAAAGCTAAACTATCTGCTAAAAAATGTTTAGGTAGTCTTCCAAACAACAACTAACTAGGAAACTAAAGTAATTTAGAATAGCCAAAACAATTTTAAGATGAACCAGTTGTCAGGAACATTACACTTCCCAACTTCAAAACTCGGTAATGTTAGTTTAAGTAATCAAGACAGTGTGGTGCTGGCTTGAGGACAGATATATAGATCTATGGAACAGATTTGACAATCCAGAAATAAACCCTTCCATTTATAGATCTTTGACAGAGGATCCAAGGCAATTCATTTGGGAAAAGATAGTCTTTTTCCTGCAAAAGCAGGATATCCACATGTGAAAAGATGAATTTAGACCCTTCTCTCATACCATGAACAAAAATTAACTCAAAGGGTTATTAACTCAAAGCCTAAATATAAGAAGAGTTAAAACTATAAAACATTTGAAAGAAACATAAATTATTCATTAGACAAGAGTTCTTAAACATGACACCAAAAGCACAACAGATAAAAGAAAACAAAATTGGCAAACTGAACTTCAAAATTTTAAACTTTCACAATTCAAAAGACACCATTAAGTACAGGCATCACACTTGATTTCAAAATATACTACAAATATATACTAACAAATATACTATAAAAGCTAAAGTAATCAAAACAGTATGGTACTGACATAAAGACAGTCCTACAGACCAATGGAACAGAATAGAAACCAATTAGCAGATATAGAGTCAACTGATCTTAAACAAGGAGGCCAAAAATATACAGTGGGGAAAAGATAGCCTCTTCAACAAATGGGTGTTGGGAAAACTGGATATCCATATGCAAAAGAGAAAAACAGACCCTTGTCTTACACTATACACAATAATCAACTCAACTCACATTATGACTTGAAACTATAAACTAGAAGAAAACATAGGGGAAAAGCTTCATGACATAGGTCTTGGCAATGATTTCATGGATATGACACCAAAAGTACAGGCAACAGAGACAAAAATAAACAACTGGGACTACATCAAATTAAAAAGCTCCTGCAGAGCGAAACACACAATCAACAGTGAAAAGGTAACCTATAGAACAAGAGAAAATATTTACAAACCATATATCTGATAAGGTGTTAATTTCTGAAGTATATTAGGGACTCCTGCTGCTCAACTGCAAAAAAACTAATAACCAAATTAAAACATGGGCTGAGGAACTGTATAGCCATAAGACATAAAACAGCCAACAAGTATATAAAAAATATCAATGTCATTAACCATCATGGAAATGCAAATTAAAACCACAATGATATTTAAAAAACGAGATATAAAACTACCATTGTTTACAGATAATCACTAACCTAGAAAATCAAGAGTATCAACTGTAAACTATTTCAGATAGATCAATATATAAAATAGCTTTCCAATACATTACCAATAATCAATGAGAAAATGTAGTGAAAAAAATTGCCTACCATCCACAATAACAAATACTACAGAATTGCCTGACACTAACAAGAAACATTCAAAATCTTTATGAGGAAAACTATAAAATGTCACTGATGTACTGAAAAGAACTGACTAAACATGACTGTGTGTTAAGCATGGCTCTAAGTGCTTTACAAATTATTTACTTCTCACAACAATCCTATAAAGTAGGTGCTATTATCATCCTCTCTATTTTATTGATGGAAAAACTGAGGCTCAGAGAAGTTACATAACTTGCCTAAGGTCACACAACAAAAAGCTGGTGGGAAAGATTCAAACCCACAAAATCTGTTTCCAGAATCCATACTCTTACTATCAACCAGGTTTGCAAAAAAAATTAGTTAGGGGGTATATATTATAAAATATAATTTACATACTGTGGTAGAAGCAGTGAGACAAAACAAAGGAATTTAGCATATATTTCAAGTCACTGGGGAAAGGATAATACTATTTGGAGGGTAAATATTGTGACAATGCAAGTTAACCTGGGAAAAACTACCAGGTAAGTTTAAAGATCAAAAGCAAAATAAAAAATTAACTTTAAAAAATAACCTTGAGAGTATAGAAAACAATCCTCTGTAAGACACAAAAGTCATAAGCCATAGCTATAGAACTAAAGAATGAAAAATTAAATTGATAAAAAGATGTGACATTGCAAGAAAGTATCTGCTTTCTCAGGCACATACTCAAACACAGGCTCACAGATGCATGCTCATTCTATGTATACACACACATGTAATGACACTGAAATCCTGAATAACAGACAATAAATGAGAAAAAATAGATATATGAAGACCAGACAATTCACATTAGAGATAAACATATAATAAATGGCTAATACACATATGAAAATGTTAATTTTCATTAGCGACTAAGAAAATGCAAATTAAAGCAAGATGTCATTATTTTCTCCATTACAACAGCAAAAATTAGAAAGGTCAATAAAATCTTCAGTGGTGTTGGCAAGTGTTTGGAAAAATGGAAACTCTTACAAGTGATGGTACTGTAAACTGGCAATATTTTGGAAGACAATCTAGTAGTAAATATAAAAATTTAACATTTGTACACTCTTGTTTAGTAATTTCAATTATTGAGCTCATTCCACAGAAAAATTAGTAAATATGCACAAAAATAAGGATATTTCATTAATGTTTGCTACAGCAAAAAATGGGACATCTTGTAAGCCAATAGCAAGTAACTAAATAAATATACATTGATTAATGAATACACATAGTGGTTAAAAATAATGAAATAGAATTATATGCAATGACATGGAAAGGTTTCCAACAACAATTGAGTTGTTGGAAAAGTCATGACGTTTTTTTTTTATGTTTTTCATGGCAAAAATGCATCATGACTTTTCTGACAACCCAATAAATTCTGTAACATGTTAAGTCACGGACTATTACAGAATGATCTCACATGAGGAAAACCAGTATTATCACAATTTGTATACAGAGCGCATATTGTACTATCTTGTTTTGAGGGACTACCTCCAGGAATAACAAATGGATAAAAGGGACAGAGGTGACCTTTATTCACATATACTTTTATGTTTGAATTTTTACATTATGATTTCAAAAACAAAGTTACAAATATACAATCAAACAAAACATTAATTTAAATCAAACCAAGAACCACTAGGGGCAAAAAAATTAATTAATTCCTCTGGACAAAATAAAGGGTTGTTAAACTTACAATCTTTTGGGTTTAAAAGTGACTGCAAAAGTATATCCCAGAATTTACCCAAGGCTTTTGGTACAAAAAAAATTCTGTGAGGATATTTCTGTCATGGAGATGACCAATATGTGTTTTGCTTCCTTGGCTAGAACATTTGGATCTCCTTATTCCCAAAAGAGTTACTCAAAACAAAGTTACTCAGGGCCACCCGAGTGGCATGATGGTTAGGAGTTGGCTTGGGACGCCAGCTCTGAGCAGCAGGACCAAGGTTCGGATCCCATATGAGGCCCAGTGACACTGCGCCCTCTATAGCTAAGATGGTGAACAACAGCTCGACCTGGAGCTGGGCTGCCGGGAGTTGCCAGCGACGGGCATAGGTGGCAGTGGGGCTGGCCAGCAGCCGGCTTGAGCTGCCGTGAGTGGCCCTCCAATGGCCAGCGAACGACTGCCTCACCCGGGAAGAGCGCAATAATAACACTAACATTGGTCCAGTGAAGCGACATCCTCCACAACTAGGCTAAAGAACAAAAGGACAGCAACTTGTCTGTTCCCCTTCCCCGATTCCCCAACGCTGTTCCCCTCCCCTAATTCCCCAAAAAAATCTAAAAATAAAAAAAAGTTACTCAGAACACAGGTGTATTTTTTTCCTGGTGGCTTGCCACAGATAGCCAGGCACTATGTTAAATAGGAAGGAAGGTATTGTTGCCCACAATAAGTATTCACTAAACAGTGTCTCACCGGTTTAAGCTGTTAACCTTATGTCTATTGGCAAAACACTCAGGTCAGATACAAAACTTAAACGATTTCCTTCAAGTGACATAACTGATATTCATTTTCTCTCCATTTAAAGACCCAAGACCACACTTCTAAGCACTTTTCTCAAGACATACAAGATAAATGAATAACAGCTCAGTAACAGAACTCAGTTTTAAAATAACAAGTATAATGTAAGAATTTGGTTATTCCTTCAAGAACAGCTATTTCCAAATGTGTATTTTACAGACTAGGAAACAATGTACATGTTCACCAGTAGCAAGCACCATCTAAAAATAATAACTTTTAGCAAGAGATTTAAAGAGTTTGCTAAAGACTATTATATTTTTATTATTAATTGAAGAAATATTTCTCCATCATCTAGAATGTGTAAGTATGCTACATCAACAGTAAGTGCTGGGACAGAACATACTCTCAGGAGCCATTATGAAATTACACAAATATTTATAAATTCTATCTGGAAGAAATCTAACTATATCATCTGCATATCACTGTTTATTATTACAGAGTTTCAGCTTCTGATTTAATGTATCCATCACAAATGCCTCTAGGCATATGAAAAACAAAAATATTACAAAAGAACTTAAGAGATCTCAAAAAGAATTTTTTTCTAATCAGGAACTTATCTCTGCATAAACAAGCTTTTGACAAATTTTCTATTATATCACTTTGCATTCTATTAATGTAGTTACTTGCTTACTCATCTGAAAGCTACTTAGCATAAATTAAAATTAAAATAGAAAAAAAATTTAAAATTCAGTTTCTTGGTTGCACTAGCCACATTTCAAATATTCAAGCCACATATGGCTAGCGGCCATCATATTGGACAGTGAAGACAACTAAAATTTTTTTCTTCTTAACAGAAAGTTCTTTTGGATAATATTATTATCAGTAAAAATAAAAGATTCCTTAGGTTAGTGGAAATAAAATTCTGACATCGTTTCAAATGCTTTTAAATTTTAACTCACCATGAATCTCTTTGATACGAAGTGTATTCTGATGCATTCCATATTTCAAAATTAACTGCTCCAGATAGTAGAAAGTTTTTTTGTGCAAAGTCTAAACATAAATATTCTTAGATTAATAGATGAAATGCAAAAAGAAAAAAAAGCTATCTATAGATATAGCATACTGATTTTTAAAACAAAAACAATCTTTAAAGATTATCTAAAATGTAATTATGATCTATTTCTAAAGATGAATGCTCCGTGTACCTAGAGAATCCCTGATGCATGAAAAATTTAGAAAAAAAGGGAAAAAGGTTTTACTAGCTATTTATAACTGACAGAGATGAAATACAAGATGGAGGATTCACTCATCATCTTTCTCCTTACCTTTTGTCTGACTTGAACCACAGCCTTCCAGAAATCCTTAGCTTCTACTCTGTGGCAATCTCCACACATTTGGGGCTGAACAACATAATCCACCACAAACACTTGCTGAAGGATAGCACCATTCATCACCTAATAAAGAAAACAATCACACTCCTTTATTCTTTCCTTTGCTTAATAAAAAAAAAATTTCTTAAAAGAAGACACTTTAATACTTAACTTAAAATCTTTTACCATGAATGCTTTGAGGACATCAACAATAAATCCATTAAAATCATAAATTACACTAGTTCAAGAAAGAAATATTAGCTTGCTTCATAGAATTTAGAAGGTTAACATTTCAAATTTACCTTTAGTTGAAGTGGTTGTGAGGACATTCTTTGCAGAATTTTTATATCTATATATACTTCTGTGTATATGTGTGTATGTATAAAATTCATTCGTAGAAAAAAAAATATGACAAAAATACTCTCAAAAAAGAAAATATTCCTTAATTTAATTGTTACCAAACATAGCCAATCATCAGAAATAACCCAATAAACTTTTTAAACATACTCGTATATATTCCTGGGTCTCACATCCAGTTGAATCCAGTTTGATTCGTTACTGTGAATCATGATAATCAGCCAAGTTTGAGAAGCACAGCCTTAGCTCATTTTGTTACTTCTTTTTCCTAATAAAAATAGCTTTGAAAACATTATCTTAGCCCACTAATCATGAGCAATGGCTGCTCTTACTAGTGACCTGATCATCTGTGCAAAAGAAAACAAGGGGTTAAAATTAAGAGTGTATTCATGTCCCTTTAAGCTGTTCAAGCCATAAAATAACTTACCAATAGCCCCTCATTTTCACTATCTACACTTTACCATGCTGAGAAAATTATACACAGCTTACCTCTTTCTGAATAGTCAGTTTAACTTTAAGTCTCTTAGAATGGGGCTCAGTCCAAACAAAGCCTGCATCTACAAGCCGTACCTTCAATTAAACACAAACAAACAGAAACATAAGTTCCCATATGAAAAAAAACGAAATAACAATTCACTAATAAATAGAATTCATAAGATGCTTAAGAAATCTGTGATTTGCATCACTACCCAATATAAACAGTAAAAAATAATTTATCAAAGGTATGGCAACAAAAACACCAAATAAAAGGATAATCTAATGTCTATATTAATGCAACTGGTATAATTCAAGCAAAAATTAAAACATTTCCATGGAAAAAAATCCTTTTCCCTAAAAAAAATATGTATTTCAATGAAAATTATACTTTTTATAAGAAAGCAAAACTGTAACTTCATCATCTACTAGAAATCCTTCTGTTTCTACTCTATATTAGTATACGTATGTGGCTTAAAAAAAAAAGAACATTCATTAGAGAGCATCTCATGCACTAAATACTGAATCCACAATGTTAACCACTGCTAAATCAGCAGGCTCAGCAGAGGCCCAAAACAGTTTGCTACATGTGAGGAACAGAATGTAGTTCAATATGGCTAAAATGGGTGTTTTGAGGGAGAAAAAGAATGGAGATGGTTTTTGTTTGTTTGTTTGTTTATTCCTTGACTATTCTGTTCCATTGGGGGGTGAGGGAAGTGGGTGTGTGGGTATGGGTGTGGGTGGGTGTGGGTGTGTCTTTATGCCAACACCATGCTCTTTTTTTTTTTTTTAAGATTTTTATTGGGGAACTGGGGGGATGGGAACAGTGCTGGGGAATCAGGGGAAGGGAAACAGACAAGTTGCTGTCCTTTTGTTTCTCAGTCTAGTTGTGGAAGACGTTGCTTCACTGGCCCAAGTTGGAACCATTATTGTGCTCTTCCCGGGCGAGGCGGATCAGTCGCCGGCTTCTGGACGGCTGCTCACTGCAGCTGCTGGCCGCTCACGCTGGCTGCTGGCTACACACGGTAGCCCATGGCAACCCACTGCCACAGGGGCTGCAGCCTACGCCGTCGCCGGCAACTCAAGGCAGCCCAGCTCCAGGTTGAGCTGTTGTTCAGCATCTTAGCTGTGGAGGGCAGTGTCACTGGCCCTCATATGTGGGATCCGAACCAGGGCCCTCTGGCGTCAAGCCAGCTCTTAACCAACACGCCACTTGGCCGGCCCTGGAGATGGTTTCAATATTTTGGGAGGAGCTATAGGTGACCTGAACTGAGAAGTGCTAAAAATAACAGAAGCAGAAAGATCCAAGAGCTATTTAGGAGATAAAAAGTATAGAATTTAAAGATAACTGGGGTATGGGGAAGAAAAGAACCAATTTTAGAATGACGCTCAAGTATCTTGGGCATCTATATAATACTATTTCTCTACACAAGAACAAACTTGATAAAGAGAAAATGATGCATTTGGTTTCAGACATCTGAGTTTAAGAGGATTTATCCATGAGATATCCAAGTGAAGATGTTCATTGGATAATGAGATATCTATTTGACCTGGAGCTCTATGGAGAAATCTGAACTGTAACAGATTTGGAAGATGGCAGTGGGCAGATGGTACCTAAACAAGTTCTGTCTGATGAGAGCTAGACTAACTAGTGTAGATGCAGCACTCCAGAGTAAAATTCTCCTCTTATGACTGGCTCCCCGCTAAAGCAAACACTAGTAGTCAACCAGATACAGAGGGTGACAGGCAGCTTCTATTCCCTCTCCATCTGCAGTGGTCAAGAGGAAGTCCCAAGGCACTGACTGCCTTTCCCCTGGCCTCCAACCTCCACCTGCAGGAATGGAAGAGAAACCCTGACATCTGCTTCTCTATTCCTCTGCACAGCCTCACCATACATACTATCTGCCCTCAGACAACAAGGACCAATCAACTCTACTGGGCCATTTATTCTTTCCTTACCACAGTCCCAGACACCTAAGACACCCCTCATCTCCCACACTCCAAACTCCATATGGTCTACATATTACCTGTTCTGTCCCGTCTAACACTCCTCCCCAAATCCTGAAACCCTTTACCGTGTGCCCTCCGGAACTCAACATTCACTAAAAACAAAACCTCCTAAATCCTCGATCTCTTTGCTGAACATTCATTCCCGTCACTGTCTAGATCTCCTGAGCATATACACTGCTCTCTCTGCAGCTAATTAATGACTGATACATTTCTCATTTTCTTCCTATCATTGGAACAGGAGCCAGACAGGTGTCCTCTCTGCTCTTCAATTGCTAATTCTAAATCATTCTCCCTGTCTCCTCCTTAAATATACCCAGCTTTGAATCTGAAGTCTTCAAACTACCCTCCACCTCTCTCTGTTAGTCATGTTAATCCTTGGGTCACCTGCTCTCATTCCTCCAAGAACTTAGCTCCTGGCTCACTGAGGGTCTTTTCAACAATAATATTAACACTTAATGATTTCAATATCCTCATAAATGACCCCCAAAATATACTAGCCTCTCCATTCTTTGAGTTCCTTACCCCCCAAAATCCTGTCCCCCTTTTATTACTGATAACTGAAACTCCTCCAAAATCTCAAGTCTAACCACCCCACTCCCTGACTACCACTTCCTATCTTTCCAGCTCATTCTCTCCAGTCCCTGAACACCAAAAACCCTTCAATCTACTGCAATCTACAATCTAATACATCCTACGTTTTCACTATCCCTCATACCTCCTTACCTACTCACTTCCATCCTAGCCTAGCTTAATTTCAAGATCAATATCATTCCCATGCACACACTCAATTCCCTTGGTCCCTCTCTCACTTCACCTTAGTCACTTGGCTAAATCATAATCTTGGTTAAATTCAATGCTCTGCCTGCTCTATGCTTTACCTACGCAGATGGTTGGGCTAGAGCAGGGGGTCAGCAAACAATGGCTTGTGAGCCACATGCGACTCTTTGGGTACGTACGTGTGGCTCTGAAGTAAAACTGAAAATGAAAATAAAACTACCATAGTTCAATTTATAAAATTTTTAAAGGATATTATTCACATAATGGTGATTTTATTTGTTCTATAGGTCTCGCAAAACTTTGAGGGACAGGATTGGCTCTCCCGTCTCAAAAGTTTGCCAACCCATGGGCTAGAGAAATAAACACACACCATGTTAGTCTTTATGTTTATGACAGTAACTCTTAGGCACTGCCCAGCAACCATACATCATTCTGATCCAGTCTTCCACTCTCCTAGAAACCTATTTCACACCTTCCCCCTTCTCCTCAAACACCTAATAAATAGTTCTATAAATTTAGCAATGTGGAGATCTTTAATGACCTTTCCTCATAGCTACTGCCCATGCTTCTGTTTTCTCAATTGAAAAAAACCATCATAGGGCCAGCCGAGTGGCGAGTTGGTTAAGAACTGGCTTGGGACGCCAGAGGGCCCCCATTCGGATCCCACATATGAGGGCCAGTGACACTGCCCTCTACAGCTAAGATGCTGAACAACAGCTCAACCTGGAGTTGGGCTGCCGTAAGTCACCGGCAACGGCGTAGGCTGCAGCCCCTGTGGCAGTGGGTTGCCATGGGCTACCGTGTGTAGCCAGCAGCCAGCGTGAGCGGCCAGCAGCCGGCGTGAGAGGCCATCCAGAAGCTGGTGACTGATCTGCCTCGCCTGGGAAGAGCACAATGATGGTGCCAACGTGGTCCAGTGAAGCGATGTCCTCCACAACTAGACTGAAGAACAAAAGGATAGCAACTTGTCCGTTCCCCTTCCCCCAATTCCCCAATAAAAATCTTAAAAAAAGAAAAAAAAAAGAAAAAAGCCATCAGAAGAGATTTTCCAGAAGCTCCCAAATACCAACGCCTTCTCTTCTGTTACCGCAATGAACTGTCCATGCTCCTATCATGACCAACCTCTAGAACATCCCAATAGAGAGCAGAGATCTTTGTTCTGTTCCATGGAATATGCCAGGCTCCCAAAATGGGCCTGGTAAATACCAAATATTTGTTGGCTGAACAAAAAGTATTCTTCAACTAGTATGCTATGTCCAATCTTTTTGCCACTCTTCGAGAACATCCCCTAGCCAATTATTCCGTCTCTTTGTAGTTGTACATATTTTTCCCTCTGTACTTTATCATTTGTACAACACACATATTTGTATCAGCTTACAAATATACTGTAACATCTCCCATCTTAAGAAATGCATCCCCTTATTTCCCTCCACCCACTGCCCCACTTCACTTCCCTTTTCAGCAAATCCCAAAAAAAGTATCTATACTTGCTGCCTCCAATTCCTGTCCTTCTATTCTCTCATTTCCAATCACATCAGGTCTCTACCCCCACCACTAAACAAATTGCTCCTCAAAGTCATTAAGGATCTCCCCACTGCTAAATTTACAGTTCTCATTACTTGATCTCATCAGCTGCAAATCAGAGCCAGTCACTCCCTTTGTAAATTACTTCCCTTACCCTCCAGGATACCACACTCATCTAATTTTTCACCTACCTCACTAGCAGCTCCTTGTCAGTCTCTGACAACTTCTCATCTTCCGGAACTTTATCACTAAAGGATGCCATGATTCAGTCCTCAAATTTCTTCCCTTCTCTATCTAAACTCTCTAAGACATTTCATCCAATTTCACAGCTTTGAATGCCATCAATAACCCAAATTCATCATCTCCAGTCTTGTTTATTTATCCAGCTTCCTGCTCAGTACTTCTACTTTCATGACTACCGGACATCTAAGTATCACTTTGAGATAAGCTCTCATCTCTCGCACTGTGATCTGCTCCTCTTGAAGCCTCTCCTACCTCCTAACAGCAACTCCCTCCTTCTGGTTGCTCAAGAACCACAGAAGTCATCCTTGACACTTGGCATCTCATACACATGCATCAGGGAATCCTACTGACTACCTTCAAAATAGATCTGGACTCTGTCCACTTCTCACCATCTCCACTACTGATCCAAATACCATCATTTCTCATTATTACAACTGCTTCCTTCCTAAAGGTCCCCACTTCCACCCTTACCCCCACCCCCTTCAAATCTATTCTAAACACAGCAGCCTGATAAAATGCAAATCATTCATCTTATTAGTCTGCCTTATACCCTCTATGCCTATTACACTCAGAGTAGAACAGTCCTTACAAGACCTGACCTACTCTGACTTTCCATGACTTCTCCGGATTCATCCCCGATTTCCCCCTCCCCACTCCACTATAAACATACAGGTATGCTCCAGCCTCTGGCCTCTACACTTGTTTTCTCTATCCATAATGCTTATCTCCAGATTTCTACACATCTCTTTCACTTACTGCCTTTTAATATTTATTCAAATGTGACTTTATTAGTGAGGCTGTATTTTAAATTGCAACCCTTCCCTGTGACGTTCTTATCACCCTTCCTGGTTTTCTCCTCCACAGAATTTACACCTTTTAATATACCTTCTTATTTTGTTCATTGCCTACTCCACACCATCCCCTCCAACTAGAAAAAAATTTCCTAAGACAGGGATTTGTGTTTCTCTCAGTCACTGCCATATCCCCAACACCAAAAGCAGGATGGCACAGAGTTACCACATAAACATCTACTGAATGACCAAATGAATTAAGGCTCACCAGCCATTTGACAAAAGCGAAAAGACCACGTTACACAAAAAACTGACTCTGGGTAAAAAAACAAACAAAAAACCAGACAATCAGGATATAAAAGGAAGTGTTAAAAAAAAAAAAAAAAGAAAAGAAAAAAATTTCAACCTATTAATAAACCTTCAGAAAAATTCAAAAACAGACTGCATCAAAAACACCAAAAACTCTTAAACTTAAAAATATTGCTACTGAGGAAAAAAATTCAATACAAAGATTGGAAATTAAGTAAAAGAAATCGCCAGGAACACAGAAAAAAATAAAATAAATAAATATAGAAAACAATACAAAAGGAAAAAGACAACGTTCCAGTAAGGCCAGTATTTGACTAACAGAAATTCCGGGGGGGGGGGGGGGGGGGATAAATTTCAAAGAACTATACATGAAATTTTATCAGAGCTTAAGAGAATCTGAAAGTCTTCAAAACAAGAGTTCATTTCAATTAAAAATACACCTGGGGGGGATTCATAAAGTTTAACATAAAGAAAACTGGAAGTGTCAGGTAGAGAGGCAAAATGGAGACATTTATGCACTGATTTTAAGTAACAGGCACAAATATTGTCTTTCCAGAGCAGAAATGAAAACAGAAAAAACTGAATGCTATATAGCCCTAATACTATATACCCTCCTAAATTATTAATAAGTTTAGAGATGGTTTTATATATTTTCCAAAAAAACTACTGCACATAAGAGATTCTCAATAAATGACAAAATTAACGCTAAATCTTTTAAAGCAAAAATTTTTCATTTTCATGAAAAAAGGGACATATGTAACTTTAAAAATGAAAACTGCATTGTAGTACAGTGCTTACCAACAGCATCATTTAAGAGCTAGTTTTGAAATATCTATTCATACAATGGTTTTCTGAAAAGTAGAGATTAAAAAAAAAAAAAATACACCTACAAAAATGATTTTAACTATTTGACCAACCTTACTCAGAGGAGCTTTGATTTTTTTCAAGCACAAAGCAAGAAGTTCCCTGGATTCTAATGCACATTGTATCCAAGTTGCTGGTGGCTGGAAATATCTGAGAGAGAAGATAATAAAATACTGAAACCCAGCATCTCTCAAGGAAAACCAAAAATTTCCATCTTAATTTCCATGCAGATACAACACTGATTATTAACCAGATATAATAATTATCCACGGTTGACCTGAAGCACTTAACCCAAATATATTTTAATAATTCTAGAAAACTTCTAATTAGACCAGTAGCTTTAGTTAAAAGGTAAAGTTGTGGGTACTTGAGAAAGCCAATCTAAAATAACCTATAAAAGAGGTCTTTTTACTTCAAGCACCAGCAAGAATTTCAATGAGGATGACAAAATGACCAGAAGTCCCTTGAAGCTATGCTCTGAAAAACAGGTAAAAATCATCTCAAAATGGCATTAAAATGGTTTATAATGTACATCTATAATGTCTGAGAACTGTTTATTTCTCACACACAAAAAAGATAAATTAGTACCTCATATTATGTATCAACAATAGTTGACTATTCATCTATTTCAACTCTTTCCAAATTTTAATTGTAAAATGCAAGTTTTAAAATCTTACATAAAACCTAGTATTTAAATCCCTTGTGCATGGCGCTTTAAGTTTTTCAGCCCAGCCCACCCAGGACTTAGAACATTGCCTAGCATATAGTAGGTGTTCAATAAATGCTTGTTAAATATGTTACTTTATATATCTAATAAAGCCCCTTGCTTTGATGACAAAATTAAGGCTTAGAGAGGTTAACTGGCCAAGAGTTTCAAAAAGTTAGTTTGTGAGAAATCTAAGACACCAATATACATAAAAATTAAATTTCAATTGCATGCTCTTTATTTATATATCCTGGTAATCTCGGCATATCCTGGAGCACTCCTATATATAAATCTCAACTTTAAGTAGGATAAATAGTACCGCACCATACCTTTGGCATTGTTTGCAGAAAGATATAGAGACCTGCTTCGGAATGCCTTGGCTGATGTCTACTTTACTTCGCAAACAGGCCACACAAATATTGGCAGGATTTGGACTAATTGGGACACCACACTCACAGCACAAGCTTAAATAAAGCATAAATTTCACAATTAGATTTCATAAATGCACAGATTAAATTTAAAAACTATCAAACAAACAAAGCCTTCAAGTGGGGCCATAATATCTGCCCTCTTTGAAAAACTGACTTAGAGCAATCTTCAAAGATGCAGTAGAGAATGAATAACCTTGGAATACTGAGGTAACAAAACAAACAAACAAAAAAAAACAAGGATGGCCACAATTCCAGAAATCCTCAAAATATGGCCAATTTCTAAAGGGTCTAGAGAGTCTAAATTATTCCTAATAGTAATCATTAAACAGCTTTATAGCCCAAAAGCAATTTTATTTTTTTTTAATCCTCAATATGGCGCTGGGACTAATAAAATATAAACGTTTGCCCAGAGCAAAAAAAAAAAAAATTTAAGGATTCAAATAGTATCATGTAGTGATTCAGTATAACTGATATAACTGATGAGAGTGCACG